CTTCCATGCAACTATGGGTGAAGCTGCTTAAATCTCAACAAACCCTTCGAGCATGGGAAAAAATATGGACTCCGACGCGGCGAGGCCATCGAGAAGAGTGCACAGCCACTTGGTAGAGCCTCAAGGAGTGGGGGAGGGGATGAAGTAATGAAGTGCTGCCGAGGCGGAGGGAGGCGCAGCCATCTTGCGAGCTGTTCCCTGGCGCAGTTGGACCTAAGGGGAAAAGGGTCGATTTTGACACTCTCGCACCACAGCATGGCAGCCAGACCCTCCTCTCACCAACATCATCAAAGCCATTGGGTGTCGAGAAAAAGGAGATGGCGAACATCGTCGATCCACAGGCGCTACAGGACCGGAGAGCGAGCTGAGGTCGCGGTTCCAGCGGCGCCACTGGGGTCCAAAGCCCTTCCCCGGATGGATGCGAGCGTGCGTGCGTGCGTGCGGCTGCTAGATTACGAGCCCTTTTGGCTGCAATCCGCCAGGCTGGGCTTCCCGTTTCCGGTGTCAAGCCTCTCTTGGATTCCTGCTCCCTCGCTTCAGCGAAGCCTGATCAATGCCAAAATCTAGACACAGGAATTGGCTTGGCTCTTCCCTCATCTGCTCTCCCCTTTCCTTCCCTTCCCGTCCTTTACTCTCTTTGTTCTTCACTCTGTTTAACCATCACTGTGCCTTGAAGGTTAAGAATTCCGGAGGAGGAGGAGTCACCTCTTTGCTTTTCTATTGTGCTATTGTGATGGATCTGAACTCTACTAATGATCCTAGATGATGCGCAGTTTGGGTTTCTATGCCTTGACAACAGAAAAAAAAACGTGGGTAAAAAGAAGACCAAAAAAGAAACACACATTTGGGTCATGAGTTAGGGATGGTAGTGTTGACCTTGGAATCTTCATTGTAAGAAAAGCTTGGAACTTGTTCATTTGATTGCTTCGGACTAAGCAATGCATCGGCTTTATATAGCTTGTGTGTGGATTTTGAGGAATGTTTTTGTGAAGATGGTTTTGTTGCCATTATCTGTGATTACCAATTAATTGTTGCTTTGGTGAGATCGTATGGTGCTGCTGCCATGTGAGGGGTGTATTTTTGAAGTTGAGAAAGATGCTCAATACTTGTTGAAAGTCATGCTTCCTTTGTCATAGGACAAGTTATCAATCACTCACATGCTCACCCCCACCTCACCAAAAACAAAGATATATAACAAAAGATCTATATAGAACAAGAAGGAATAAAGGAAGGGGCAAAAGAGGAAAAAGAAAAAAAAAAAACAAGACTGGATTTCATGAGAACAAGACTAAAAGTTGGAAGCCACAATTCCAACTAAAATCACGTGTTAATGTTACTTTAAAAGCATTGTAATCTATATATACAGAAATATCCCACAACACCAACAATGACTTAAGGTTATCATAATAATAATAATAAGGAGACATAATGGCAACAATAAAAATTGGAATAATTTTTTCAATATATATACACATACCCACACATTCCACAATGCCAAAATTGTTAAGTGCAGGTGAATAAATATTGATATTATTCATAAAAAAGGTTTTTAAAATATGTATTTTTCATATGCTAAAATTAAATATTGAATCTGATTTTTAAAAAATATGTTTGAACCGTAGAGAATTGCTAAAAAAATAAATTTTATTTATTTTGGTGAAATATGACTTGGACATGTGCATGAAAATCAATTGCTCCAATGGACAAACACAGTGATACAACAACAAAAAGATACATTACACATACAAGCATTGTAAGATTCAAAGGTTATATTTGATGTTATATTTTGCTGCTTTAAAAAAATGGTATTAGAATTACAATAATTATAATTAAACTAATTTTTATAAAAAATACAATTGAAAATCAATTGAAACAAGGCTTACATGGCATATTTTTTAGATCATTCAGATAATAGTGCAGACATGTGTGTATACACAATAGACACACTGAATTTTCCAAACATTCTGATGAAGTTATTTTTGATAAAACAATAATTTAGCTCAATGAATTCAAGAGTAATGAATCTTGGAATGATCTACACCAAAACAAACATTTCAAATGCTTTCTTCTAAAAGGTAAATTGTATGAATTCAAAATCTATTGGCTTCATATGAAAAGAACAACAACAATAATAAATATCAAAATATCAAAACATCAAAATAAATACTGACAATATATTTGTTGAGCTTTAAAAAAACGTTGGTTCGCTTTCTTTACAATGGTTGATTGCTTACTTTTATGAATACAAAAAGCAGCTTCATTTGTCATTCAAAATCTCAAGCTAGAATAGCCCCCTGTATCTATTGCTATCATCATTTCAACAGTTTGTTTTAGTTTTTTTAATCAAATGCCACCATGATTCAAAATAGCATTTGAAATCCATGTAAGATCTAAGATGTTCACTTAATAAAAATGGGACTTTGAATTCTTCACTATAAAAACAACTTTATAATGTTTCTACTCATGTGTAGATGTCTCTTGGCATACAAATACACCATTAGTCACATAATTCTGAAACTATATTTGAACTCTATGATGGCTATTAAACTTGAAAAAATAATTAAAACTAACAAAAACAAAACAAAAACAAAACAAACAAATAACAAACATTGAAACAATAACACATGGTTTGATGTATTTGAAAGAATAGTTGGTTCTATGTAAAGAGAGTCCTTGTATGTATATGTAATTTAGAAGGTCAATCAAAATCTCAATTTTTTTTAATAAAGTAATATGCAATTTCTTTTGGAAGTAGTTCAAACTTGTAAGATTCTAATTCTAAAATTTCTTGTTCAAGTTTTGAAGGTTAAACATATACATCTTCAATAAGTTAGGGCTTTGATGTGTTTTAAAAAATGAAGATTGGAAGGATGATCAATAAAACAGGGTAAGTACCACTATGCTACATATAATTTTATGTTCATCTACTACCATATCATTTGAACTCATTCTGGTATTGCAGCAGTTGTATGACTGTTAATGGTTGTTAGAACGTATATAAAGAATGAATATTGAGTTAAAATTATCTTTGTAAAAATGCAAGTTAAAGTAACATTTGATGCAATTCCAAGACAGCACAAGATGTCAAAATGGTTAAGAATTCTCTGAAAATTAAAATCCATTAATTTTTTTAGTACAGTCTTCAATCTTATTTAAGAATTGAAATTAAAAAATAAATATCAAGCCTCAAATTTGAATACTAATCAAGTTGCTCATTTCATTTGGTCCACATCTGCAATCTAAAACCCCACAAAATGTCTTTGTCATATTTATATAATAACACTAATTGTTGTTATCATTATTAAATCTACCAAGATAAATTATATTGTCTTCTCTCTTTCTTTTCATTTTTTGACCTTCATTTTTGTGTTGTTCTTTGTAAACTATTATTGGTATTATTATTTTAATTTATTTTTGTAAAGACAAAGTATGTAACTGCATGGAATAGTGTTTCTCCAGGCTCACATTAAAATCCTTGACCATAGATGTTGTGCCAAACAATGAAAAGCCTCAAATGTTTCATGCCCAAGGGAATCTCTCTTCTATTTTCAAGTTGGCAATCTACATTCAACATCTAAAGAGATACCAATTCCATGATCTCCACTTGAGATTTGAGAATTTTTGTGAAATCACACCATATTTTATATAAAATCATATTTAATCTTAACAAAAAACAAAAATAATTAGATTAAATTAAAAACAAATCTTCAGAAGAAAGCCGGAGTAATTATATTATTCTTCTTATGAATTTTGCTTAGATGGAGCCACTTTTTTTTTGGCATGTTGGTGGAGTATAATACAATGTGGATTTCAAGAGAATGATCACAAGCCCCTATTTGTTCCCATTGAAAGAGTGGGGGGGGAGTAATGTGGGAGAACACCAAATAAGAAATGGCAAAATCTTGAGCTCCCATTTGACCTCCTCCAACAGAATATTCATCCTCATGTTCACTTGGCCACTTGCAAAATGTTCAACATCACCCATCTAATATTTTATGTGGATATGTAGCATGGTTATATAAATACATGTAGATACAAAAACATTGTGGGATTCAAGAATACATAAAAAGATTCTCTTTGTAGTTTGATACACATTCATTTGTACTTGAGATGGAACTATATGGTTTTATATGAACTTGTATAATTTATGTTAGTGTTGGTACTTGTAAGAAATGAGCAAGTGGGTTGAGTGTGCATGTCTAGATTTTAGATTTGATATTTTGAACTTTAGAAGCAATGTACAACAAACAACCCCCATGCATGTGCAAAGCCTTGTTGTTTTGAATCTAATGATTGAATAAGGAAAAAATGTCAAATTCCAATGTCAAATTTTGTTTCAAACACATGACTGGATATTTAAGCTCGTCACAAGGTTAAGATAATGGTGTGATGTTTGAAGGATGTTCAACAATAGTGGAATTCTTAATCTTAAATGAATTGGAAAACATCATACCAAAAATCCGGAAATCAAAATTCTTGGGTCCTACCAACATGATGCAAAGACAAAATCTGTTATGTGTTACATAATAATAGCATACAAAAGCAATTCAATAAGTTTAACAGAAAAAATATCATTCTAAATTTTCATTAAAAAAGGATGAGGTTTTTACCTAGTGTGTGTCATTAATCCAAGTCAAAAGACAAGTTTGTAAATCAAGATTTACAAATTTAACCTAATACATAGATACACAATAAAATAAAATAAAAATAAAAAATAAAAAATGATTAAGAATACACTGGTTCTGTATAAGAGATTTAAGTTTATCCAGGTAAAATGTGATCATTATCAATAAATTTTTAAACATCAACTTTTCATATTTCAACAATGGATATTGATCTTTCAGTAATCACAAAATTTTCCCACTGCCCAAGGTTAGAAATGAATTTCCTTTTTAAAGCAAAAAATAAGTAATAAGTTTAAAAAGAAGAAGAAGAAGAAGAAGTAGAAGGAAGGGCATGAGGTACAAAACTCTCATAAAAACATTAGTACATTATGACCAAGGCACAAGAGTCCAGTTCCCTTTATTCCTTTCTCTTTTTCTCTCGTCAAATTCCCAGAGATTTGAATTAAAACCTGCTGATCTCAACGTGCACAAGAAGGCATTGGAGTGGGGGTTTTGCAGCTTTTAGGGTCTAACTCCAGGGCCACTTTGTAGTCGCAACAGTTCTTTCTGGCTGTGAAGGGTTTGGTGCTGTCGGTTGCAGTGCATCCGATCACTTCATCGTCTACTTCAGGGGTGGCAGAAATTTCCCATCATGGTACAGAAAAATAGTATTTTTTAATTTGATGATGTGCATTGCATGTTTGGTCTGTTGGACGCCCTAATGTCGGTTCATTTTAGCAGTGTTTATTTATTTACTTTCTTTTTTCTTTTTTCTTTTTGCTATTCTGGAGAATGTGATCGCCTTCGCATGGTTCTGTTGGGTCTTTAGCTCAATTGTGATGTCCATTTAAACCCGAATAATTCATGGGTTTTGAAGAACATGGTTGTTCCATGCTTAGGTTGTTGATTGTTTAGGGTTTGAATTTTGTTCGGCCTCAGTCAGGTAGGAAAGAGACTGTGCTAGATCTGGCCAAATTTGTGGATAGAGGGGTTTCAGTGAAGCTGAGCGAGTATGTCATCTCATCTCGTTGATTCTTTGCAACTATTTTTGTCGGGGGTTAGATCGGAATTCCGGAGTGTGGTGTGTAACGTGTAGCGTGTTCAGTATCCTGCTATGTTGAAAGCGTCAATCATCTTGCAGTGACAGGAACTTTGAAAGGATATGACCAACTTTTGAATTTGGTCCTGGACGAAGCCTCGGAAAGCTCAAGAGGTGAGATTTTTCTTTGCTATCCTCTCACTATTTTTTCATTGTCCATCATTCTCGTACACATACAGAGGCTTTTGTGCTGTCATAGAATCCCTGAATAATTGTTTGGACTTGGTTTTCGATGTCTTTGCCCTTTCTCATGCTATGTTGATTTTAAATCTAGGCAACTCTTGCGGTGACTTATCGAGGACATGTGTTTGTAAAATTTCCGTTTTCTTTCCACAAAATTTTAGGTTTTTGTGCTTTGTAAGTGTTTACAGGGTTTTCTAATGAATTCTTAGAAATTTCGTGGTATAAATAAAGCAGTCGCAATCTCATGTGCATATCTTGCCATTTGTTATATTTTTTAGTTTCACCACATCCGATGATATATGTTGGGTTGTGGATTTAGTTGTGTGCCAATTACTCCATCTTTTCTTATGATTGACCCGTGTAAGCTTCAATGTAAGCTTCTACCTATGCCCTTCTGTAAGCTTACTTAGTACTGATTTGTAGTATTACTGCAGTTATGTGATGGTTTTGGATGTTCTGTTCGGCTGAAGGCAAATCTTTGTACGAGTCTGTATAAGTTGAATGTAGTCAGTTGCTCCTACACATGCTTATTCTTGATAGGTCTGCAGAGGAACTGCTGCTGTGTTGATTGCTTCAACAGACGGCACTGAGGAAATAACAAATCCGTTACTTCAGAATGAGATTCCTGCTGCTACTGCTTGACCCGTCTTCTCATCTTCTACAATCACGTAGGCAGTGTTAAACACCTACAGCTCTACTGCTTTTGCCACAAATATGTGTACAAGATGCGATCTCCATATCTTTTATGAACATTTTTCGAATGAGATCAGATCTCATTGGACATGTTTTGAAGCAGGTCCAGTCTCGGGAGGTACTCTGCTTTATGTTGAACGTAACATTGCTTCTTTTTAAGGAAAAAAATTAGTTTTTGATTCTTTTCAAAATAAATTGTAATTGTAATCTTCTTAAGAATTCAGCGTTCAACAGCATGTACCACTTCTTGTGGTCTAGACTTGCTTGATGCTTCAAATGAGCAGAGAGTTCAGTGAAGGGCTTGATTGTCACAATTTTTCGCTAAATTTTAAAACGCGTGCTGTTTGGTTCAGTTTGTTATGACTGCAAAAGGGTAAATTATAACGCCCTGTTGTTGAAAACGGACAATGGTGACTTACCTGTTTTGCCTGGATCACAGGTGTTTTACATCACAAGTCGACGAAAACTGGATGTTTTAGAACCGGTGTACGTATGTTGAGTGATAGTAATGTTTTACATGACTGAATGTGGTATGTAATGCAAAATGTAGGTCAATTGAACGTGTATTGCTTAGTCTACTAACATTGTCAACGTTAAAAGACAGCGCCATCTTGTTAAAAGGTTCTGGGATGCGAACAGCCAGGATAAGATGATCGAGACTCCACATTTGGAGACTTCAAATCATATTTTCTTCAATTTGCGCTCAAATTCAACACATGTCTACCCTTCAAGATCTATCCATTACTACGAGAATGGTATTGTGACTCACAATCAATGACACGTATTGGGCACTCTCCTTTCATTTTTATTCATTTGTTTACACTTGTTTTCGGCTACATTTCTTTATTACAGTGAACAAGTCATCTGTGGGTGGACAGACCCTAGAAAAACCAAAACAAAATCCACGCAGAATCAAACATTACAACTCATGATTTGAGTGTGAGGATTGAACACACAGATTCTAGTGAGGTTATGAACACCAGGGGTTCAGGAAGGTCTTGAATCGATCCCAATATTACCCCCACCCCCACCTATGGACAAGAGAACCGGGGGATGGTTTTCGCTGGATGTCCCACACTGCATGGTGTTAAGTTCCAATCAGGGTAAAATCAGGCAACGCACGAACACCTCTCTTTTTGATCTGCATGTTTCTCTTTACTTGCATTCCAACTCCATACGCCGAGGTCGACAACGCAGCGCCATTCTCACCATCGCACCTCGTACCTTGCCACAAGTTCCTCAACATGGGTCAGCGAGCGAGCGAAGGAGAGAGAGAAGGGGGGGCCAACTCACGGGGTGCCTGCACAACATCGAGGTCAGAAGCCATAGCCTGCAAAGCTTGCTCACTTGCATGGTGCTGCTCCTGCAACAGTGGGGGTGGGGGTAGCAGTGGGCCTTGGTAGTGGTGTCCCTCCCTCCTGAACCCAAAAGCCGTCCCAACACTGAATGAATCTGTGAACGAATGAATGAATGAGTATTCTGATTTGTTGTATGTGCTGGTGGGCTACGGGTCTTGTCGCATCAAGTGACAAGAGATGGACAGACAGACAGACAGACAGACAGACACAGAGAGTGAGTGAGTGAGAGGGATGGGGGTGAGAAAGGGATGAGAGAGAGAGGGGGGGATCTGGTGTTGTTGTTGTTGTTGTTGTTGTGTGTTGGTGCCATGCAATATATAATATAATAATATGATATAATACCGTACCTGGAATCCAACGACACTGCGACTAATGATATGTTTGCATGCATATGATTCATTTGGGAAGTGGGTGGGGGAAGAAGAAGAAAAATAATAAGCTCCTTTTCTTTTTCCTTTCCCTTCCCTTGCTTTGTGTGAAACCTTATGTTTCATGTAGAGGTAAAGAAAATTATGATTTTTATATAAATTTGCTTATACGTGTATATTGAAACAGATTAACACACTACTTGAGATCAAAACAAAGATTTACCAATATGCTTTTTAATTGAAATAATTAGAATGTTTTAGTGTTAGATTGTTTAACAATGGTCAATTCAAATGAAGGATTTTCTTAGGTATGTTGAAGTGGTCTTCGTTTAATGTACATACATAGATGGATAAAGTTGAGTATGAATAGACATTAGAAACTCTTAGAAGCTTTTTAAATACATTTTGTAGGCATATAAGCATAGATTTTGTATGTATGTGTATACATTTTTAAGTTAGAATTTTTTATCAAAATAACTTTTTGGGTTTTAAATTTTTCTTAATATATACATTAAAAAAAATCTTGAAATTTTGGTCAAATAATTTATAGGTTTAATTATTTTTTAAAAAATAGATTCTACAATTACCATTATTAATGTATGTATGTATATTTTTTTGGTTCATATTATAAATAATCCTATTTTTGAAAAAAATTAATTCAATTTACATTAGCTTTATGAATTTGAAATATTTTTGTATTAAGTGTTTTGTGATGTATAATTATTTTATACCCATATTGTCTGTTAAATTTTAAAGTTAGCTCAGATATTCAAAGTATTAGTTTTTGAAAAAAACACTAACTCCTGATTTATTTATTTTTAGTATTTTAATTTTAAATAATCTTCAGACACACACACACACACACACACACACATATATATATATATATATATATAGACACGTCAAACTCTTATTAATTAGAAATGGTTAAATTTAATATTACAAAATAATACCTTAGTCTCAGTAGTTGACTTATTCCAAGTTGCTCCAAATTTTACACAACATTCAAATGTTTTCTCTCTCTCTCGATATATATATACACACACACAAGCTTGTTTCAGAAGTGCTGGAATCAATTTCTGGATCAAATTCTAATGAACTGAGATTTTAGTCCATTCAAATAATCCTTGCTGCTTGTAAATGCTTTCAAATCTCCATGTCAAAAACATTTCCAAATTAACTTGCAAAAAATAAAATAGTTGTGTATGCTATAGTATTGTCATGTAGACCTACATAACATTCAAACATGATAGTTTGTTGGTCATCAAAACTAAATAAAAAAAAATTCCAACCAATGGAGTTATTGATTTCATTTCTACAAGAATACAATTCATTGTTCCACGTTGTGGATAATTAGGTGTATTCTATTTGTGTACATGTATACATGATGGAAGACTTTGACCATGTGTGGAACACTCTCATTTCCACATCATGGGTTGTAAGGAAATGTCTTTAATGATCAAAAGATGAGATTTTAGAGAAACAATGTCTATCCATCCCACAGACTCACGGCTTCATGCCTTGCTGACTTGGACAAAACAATACAAAAACAAAACAAAAAACAAAACAAGCAAGCAACCCAAGCCAAAAAGCTCATGCTGATGTGGCTCTTGGCTCTTGAAGCTTACTTGAAGAATTATTCAGTTTATACAAAGTCAACCATAAATTGAATACCCATGAAGCTGAAATTGAATTCCACATCGGATTTGTTGAGGAGGTAATTTATTTTAATTTGCATCTACATGTTTTAGAATTTTTACATGGTAAATGAAAACCTTCTAGGTTTATGCAATCCATTTGTAAGTTGATTGCTCTTTTTGTCATTCTTTGGATTTAGAAATCAATTTGAAGATTTTTTTTTTTTTTTTTTTTAATAAACTATTGTTGTGTCGTGTGAATATTTCTATACAAAGATTGAGGATTATTAGAGTTGGAATATGATAGAATTTCATTTTTATTAAAAAGAAAAAGAAAAACTGAAAGAGAGATAAGAGATGAGCTTTTGTATTTGAAAAGTACACCTCATAATGATATACATAGGAATGGATGCATTTTTAGTTTGACTTATTTTTCTATATTTAAATGGGAAAAAAATTGGTAAAAAATATATATATATATATATATATATCATAATACCAAGGGATCTAGTACTCCTGAATTGGTATCTTTTGAAAATAAATATTTCAATTTTTTGAAAAAATAAGAGTGTGAATTTATGTTTTGTTACATTGTTGGATTATGTGGTAAGATTTAGTCAAACACGTAGTTTGATTAGAAGCTCATTTTGATTGGTTCTAGTATCATTTTAGTATGAATTAAGAATCAAGAATTAAATTAATTAGTTAAATGAAAAGATGGTTAACTAATAGTAGCAACTTTCAAAAGTAATGGAACATTTTTATTTTAATTGCAAAAGTATGTTGCTTATGTGGGGGATGGGTCGATTTAGTAAGAAGGTGGGTAAATTTCGTAATTCCCTAAAAAGAAAAATAAAGGGATGTGATGGAGGATGTATGCTGTCACAAGTGATAAGATACATGTATGCTTGTATATATATATATATATATATATATACAGAATTTGAGATTTGTGGAATACAAATAAGATTTTTTTGTACAATTTTACACATCAGACTGATACTCTGTTTTAAAAAATAATTAAATAAAAATAAATAAATAAATACCACATGAAAATTTTAGCATATCTGGATGGCAGCCCATATTTTACACCTTTTCGAATTTTAGTTAAAAGTAAAAGCTAAAAATCACTATTATTGATTTTTTAAAAATTATATATTGTGTTTATAAAGTTTTAAAAAAGTAGAAAAAAGTAAAAATTGAAATATGAACGCATCAAAATAAACTGGAAATACTTCGATCTAGAAGTATCATTTATACATTGTCTAAAAATCCACATTAGTTTACAGACATTGAGCATTTATTTATATATTTATTTAGTGCTTTAAATCATTCAACTTTAGCAAAAGAGACAGGAACCTTCTCGCAACTATGGGTGTAAATTACATCAAAATGGTAGGTACTTTTACTTTTGAAGATTTGGAGAGCTTCATGTATCTAATGAAGGTATAGGGCTTAAGCAGTGTGTATAATTCAACCATGTTTGACAATTTGCTGATTGTCAAACAGCAGATTTAAAATATATATCTGAAAACAGAATATTAAGACATGTATTGTGTAAGCTTGTGTCACAAGAATACCTTATGTAAGAACATTCACATAGATAATTGCCACATTTCAAAAATATAACACTGATTGAGTAGTAGAAAACAAATGCACCATTTTTCAATCTAAATTTGCAGAACCAAATGATGTTTATCTGAATCATGTTATCAGTAGGTATTTTTTGAATCATTCAAATTTGATGTTTAAATCAGGCAGCACTAATTAAGAGTACTAATTACCACTTCCTGTGTTATTCTCCAAAAAACATAGTATGATCCGAGAAGTTTATGATCTGCTCATAAAATTTAGATTGATATAATGTGAGTCTTTCATAAAACAACTGCAATCTTTCACAAGGGTGTTTGCAAACTTCTGGACTTGTAATACACTTTTGATAACTTTAATTTTTTTCTATGGGTGCCAGACAAACTGCTTAGTTTTTTC